AAAATACAAAACATTGTAAAAAAAGAAAGAAAAATTTTCTGTTGATAGTGGTTTCTTACCTTCATCCAACTGAAGACCAGCAAGTTACAATCCCAAAATTTTAAGAACAATTTCATATAATATTAAATTTTTGAAGTACTTTTAAATTACACTGTAAAACAATACATTCAGTAGCTATATTTTAAGACATTTTTTTTTTCAACTGCTTATAGACCAGTACTCATCCAAAAAACCAATAGTTGAGAATCATAGTCAACAGGGAAACTCGGTTAAAAGAACATTCAGATAAATCCATTAACACAAATGTTGATTAGATACATACCAGAATTATGTTCAGATATGTAACCTATTAAATATTGTTCTATGACACCAGTCCTAAAAATCTGAAAGTAACTTTAATGAAATTTTCATGAGCCTAATGGTAATTTTCACATCTTATTTAGTATATGCAAATTAACATAAACCATCCCATTTTTTATTCTTAATTCAACCATAAAAAGACTTCACTAAAATGTGTTGTTTACAAACCAACTAACATTTAAATAACTTCAAGAAAACAAAAATAGAATACTACAAAAAGAAAGTCCATAATAATGAAATGTATACACAAAATTCTGAAAACATCTAATCTCTACATTTAATTGAAATATTTTTATCTTAACAGCTGCAGCTATATAAAATACTGTACTTATTTCCAAAGAGAGTAGTTAGTAGTCATATCAAAGACTGACAACAGTCCGTTCATGTCACTAACACACAAAAGTAAAATAATAAGGAAGATGCTGGCAATCTGCAGTTTTATCACTTCAAACCCCTATGAAGTTTGGTTCCTTGAAATATTTTTGGAAGGTCTTTTTCACATTTACTGCGTAACATGGGATGAATTAAGTCTGCAGTGTAAAATGTGTTACATTACTAAGTACAAAGGTTATAATTATTTGTACACAAAAGGTCTATAGTTTAATTATTTGTTCAAAATTCTCTTATCATATTTACTTTTGTTTTTTACAAAAAATGCTGCTAATTCATAATAACGTACAGTTTTACAATGTTATGTCATTTGATTAAAGTACTTGAACATATTAGTTATCTCAATTAGGTTAAATTTTATCCTTTCTGTACACAGATGGGTGATAGTGTGGTCATTTGTTTCAAGTTTGTTTGTTAAGAAATGGACCTAAGAACTGTTAGAGTGTATGATCTTATTTGAAATCTAACTTTAGCTTAATATGAAGTGAATGAAAACTTCCCGTGGACAACTCCATCACATGCTAGACATTGTTTTACACTTTACTTTTTTATACAATTACCCTACCAGGTATATTAGTATTTATAACATGTCAGTAGATGCCTCACAGTATAAAAAAAAAGAAGACATTACTGTCAATATTTTTACACACTTGGAACCTACCACAAAATTACAATGATTTAGAACACTTTACAGTACAAAACTAAAAAAAAGGTCAATCTGTGGACACATAAAAAATAGAGTAATTCTCAGATTAAGATAAAACAAAGGGGCCGAAAATAAATTATGAAACATATATAATCGAAAAAGTGCAATAGTAATTAATAGTAAACAGTTTAGCTACAATAGTTGAACTGATTTCAATACAACTTTAAGATTTTCAATCGGATACCAGGAAGCATGGAGACAGTAGTAACTGGCAGATTACGTGACGAACACAAAAAAAAACGAAAGAAAGGAACACGCCATATTTGTCGTCTTTGTGATCCATTACCCTCGTGCACTGTACCTACGATGCATATTAACTACAATAGAAAGCGTAAAAGTAATCACTTGTCAAATAAGTAATAATGATAACGGCGCGGCCATATCAGGGCTGAGTTGTTCGTGGCGTTGGGTCTTAAACTTTAGAAACTCAATTTAAATAATTTTATTTTAGTACTATTAGTTTTACTAATATTATATGCCTGAGGAGTTTGAATCCCGATCTCCTCCCTCTAGTAATCTTCTTAAGGTTATTTTGGCAATAATGACCAATTAAATTTGATTTTAACCGGATCTGCCCTTTCCACCCTCTTTCCTCCAAATGACCTGTGTTTTATTTTTCTCCTTTCCTCAGTCTACATGCTATTGCAATACGACATCATTTGGAGATCTTGGTAGGTTGCTTAAAGGCTGCACCTTCTTGTTGAATGATATTGTTACGTATTTGCTTGTTTGATAACTTCAGGTAGAAATTCTTTCCGAGGAACTGCAGTGATACAAGTGCCTTCTTGATTAACCCAGTTTATTCTTTCTGATACAACTTTTTGTAATACACAGAATTTCCACAGTCACTTTAAACTTAACAACCTTTATAACATACTCTATAAATCACAGTGATTCACACATTTTACTTACGGTGCCTACTTTTGGCTTGACTCAATTATCTATCTTCCGCTGGCTTTCTCTGCCAGGCTTATATATATACTAAAAAAGAGGGCATCTAGATCACACTCGAGCTGGCAGGCAAATTCATGATTCTTCGAGAAACTCCAGCGCGCATGCTCTCAGCATCGCGTGACTTCCGCTGTCGTAACAATATGCTGCTGTGGCTTGGAATACAAGTCATTATGAGATGAGCCTATAGGATTATTGCACTGTTCATCGAGAAAAGTCTCATTGGTGTTGATAAAATTGCATGAAGACATACAAATTTGAAATATGGGAATAAAATAGAGCAAGGAATGCATAAGTTTCGTAAACATTATTCTTAGAGAAATATTATGGAAGCAAAATATACTATAAATAATGCGATAAAATATAAAAGCCATGTTGCGTGTATATTACTGTTAGTCTTAGCTCATATGAACAATAAAATCACTGAATTAATAAAACACTTCGGCAGAAAAGCAAATCAAATGGTTCCATCTTAATGTAACTCTTTCTATAAAAAGTGTGTGGAATCGGTCATCTTTCCGGTAATGTGTGTACATGAGTGCGTAAATATCTGTTGTGTGTGTGTGTGTATATATATATATATATATA